TGCTGTGGGTACCGCTGCCCTAGTCCGAGGAGAGGCCAGTTACCAGGAACTTAGTGCTCAGGTCAACGTAGACCTGTCATCTGGAGCACTCTATATCCCAACTGGAGAGACAGGTCAACTCCTTGGCAGAGATGGTTCTGCAGAACCAGAGGGGTTTGGACTTATTGTTTCTCAGGCAAGGCCCCTAGGGGAGGCCTGCTGTTTCTATACCAATAACTCAGGTGTAGTTCAGGAGAGCCTTTCCCTAGTATGGAAAAATATTGCAGACAGGCAGAGGGAACGAGAAGGGAACGAAAATTGGTACCAGAGCCTGTTTCAGACTTCCCCATGGTTAACCATTCTTATTTCTGCCTTAGCCGGGCCTTTGCTCCTCCTTACTATAGCCCTAATTCTTGACCCTTGTCTAGTTAATTGGCTCCTTGACTTTGTTAGATCCTGTATTAATTTAGTTAAGTTACTGTTGGTTAGAGGTCCCCGTTATCAGACCCTGGTGTCTGCCTTCTTTGCACCCTATAATGAGGCAGCCCCCACCACGTCAAGGGTTTGAAGTGGTACACAAAAGAAGTGGGGAATGTAATGTAGAACATTATTTTACCATTTAGGTAGTAGAACCCTTTAGGCCATGGAAAACTCCAAATTCTTTAGCAAGACCCTTATCTGGCTGCTCAGGCTCCAGCCCTCAGATCATATCTCTGGAAACCTCCAATTCCTTAGCAAGACCCTTATCTGGCTGCTCAGGCCACAGCCCTCAGATCATATCTCTGGAAGCCTCCATTGTGAGAAAGTTTGCACAGCATTATCATATCTACACAGAGGGAGAAGGGTGTCCTTGACCAGCCCCCAAAAAACCTCTTCCTCTTGCCAGACTTCAAAGATCCATCCCCCTCCCTGTCCTGTATACTCCCTATATAAACCCTAGCTCAACCCCTGATGGGTGCTGCTTGATTTGGATGTGAATATCCCTGGCAGCCGCGCGCTAATAAAGTCCACAATTTAAAATTAACCTGGGTGGTCAACTCGCTCATTTCTCGGTATAACAAAGTGACTTGCCCATAGTCACACAGCTAGGAAGTATTATGTGTCTGAGGCCAGATTTGAACTCAGGTCCTCCTGACTCCAGGGCCAGTGCTCTATCCACTGAGCAACCTAACTGCCCCAAGAAAGGCTTTTTTAAGAATGGCCCTAGCCACAGTCTGAGCTTGCTTCCCAAAGACCAGCCTAGCTAAACACAAAGAGTCTCCTCACTACTAGAGAGCCTGGCTTCTTGGTGATGAAGTCTCTGGCCACAGCAGCTTATGCAATATACAAGATGGCCCTAAGTCCTGTGTGTCCCCACCCCACCCTAGGCCTTGGTTATATTGATGATGGCTGAGCAGTGGAAAGGGACACAGAGAGGGCAGTTACTGAGAAGTGCCCCATTTTCAGACCATCTATGAACTTTAACTGTTAATATTCTACATGTGAAATGTTTTTGCAGTAACCAGCAGATAGACATATTCTGGAGTAGAGGACTCATATCAAACTTGACATACTCTCTTTAATAAAACTAGAAGAAAGATAGTAAGGCTAATAAAGTAAGTGGTTTTTTATACTATGCCCAAAGCCCAAAAGCATGGGGGAAAAAATGTCATACTCTGCAATTTGGGCACGAGCCTGCTAGAGACTATTTGTTAATTAAACTAAGAGAAAATTCCAAAGAGGCAGTGGTCCTTTGGCTTTGAAAATCTCTCCCTAGCAGAAATGCTTAGGATTAGTAGAGTTTAAGTAATCAAAACATCTTTTTCTTCCATGTTAAATGGTATAAAGCCTTGGCTTCCAGCATCTGGTAGAAGCCATGATGGATATATAAATCTTTACTGTTTGTGACTTTTAGGATACTATAATGATATCATTGCATTTTGTAAGATAATATAGTCCTGATTCCTGATACCTGATTTTTGTGAGAATATGACCATACTGCCATCTAAGTATGGAATTTAAAAATTGGAGAGAACGTTGGGGGCTGTAGACGAAATGCCAGATATTCTTTAACAACCTGTGGCTTTCCAATTCTCTTCTTGCTCTAGGAGGACAGCTAGAGACCTGACTAGCACCTAAGTTTTCTTGCTGCCTCAGAGAGATAAGTGAGATTTAATCGGACACTTTGGGAATAAGCCAATGTTGTAATTTCATCCTGGAATGTATATAAGGACCTAGAAAGATACCACTACAATTAGAACATGCTATTGTCCTTATTTTAGGAGTCTAACTGAATCAACTCTAGGTAGATTGGGAGAGCCTGAAGTCATTTCTACACTAGATGACCATATGAGAACTCTCCTCTTCTCATTAAAGAGTGGGACCCTCCAAAAGGACAGAATCTAGAATTTCTTAGATGATCATCTGGGGCAATACACAACAACCTCAGTCATCAATGTTGGTCTGACAGTTTAAGTAAAGACTTAAGAATTGCTTATGACTTATGGGACTGTGTAGTTATACCTGCAGTTTCTGAGGGTGGGAATGCAGCCACATACATAGCACTTTCTGCAGGTTTGGCTCCGCTGATAAGAGTCTGGACCCTGAAATGGGAACCCTGGAAAGGATGTATATGGGGCTGAGTATTCCAAGCTAGTGTGTGGGAGATCAAACCATTGAGAAACCTCATTTGTGCATAACTTCTGGAGAATGGTCAGACACTTTTTTTTTTTGGTGAGGCAAGTGGGGTTAAGTGACTTGCCCAGGGTTACACAGCTAGTAAGTGTTATGTGTCTGAGGCCAGATTTGAACTCAGGTCCTCCTGACTCCGGGGCCAATGCTCTACCCACTGCGTCACCCAGCTGCCCCAAATGGTCAGACACTTGAGAGGGAACAGGGGAAATAGCGGTCTTTCTGACCTCGGATATCATCCAGTTGCAGCATGAAAAAGGGAGAGAGGGAGAAGCTATAATTGTAGTTTATGATCACATCTGTTTGGCTGAGAAAAGTCTATAAAGTGCACTCTTTAGAGAAGTGTTAGAGTTGTTTGGGGACAATTACAATAAAATCCAAATATCAAGTTTGCAATAACAGCAAGTGCTTTACAAATGGGTAATTTTGTGGTTTTCCAAGAACCCTGTCTCATCTTTTTAGCACCAGTATTCTACCAACGAAAGACAAACTATCAGAATAGACAGAGGGTCCGTGGGCATCAGAAAGACGTATGCTGACTCTGTGATCCTGGGTGCATCACGGAAATCCTCACTGCTCCAGGCAACGCTTTCAAAGGAGAAGCGATTGGCGTGCCTGCTCACCAGCATCAGGGCAAGCATTTCCTCACCAAGTGTTCCCTCCTCTCACAAACCCACAAATCCACGGGGCAGCTAGGTGGCGCAGTGGAGAGAGCACCAGCCCTGGAGTCAGGAGGACCTGAGTTCAAATCAGGCCTCAGACCAAACACTTGTCACTCACTAGCTGTGTGACCCTGGGCAAATCACTTAACCCCAGTTGCCTAAACAAAACAAAAAAACCCCAACAAAACCACAGATCCAGACCAATGAATTTTTTTTTAGTAATGCCAAATGTCTGTGGAATGTGACCACAATGAAGAAAAGTATGGCTGGCATGAAGGCACCATTCCTCATTTCCAAGGAGGAAGCACGTACAAGAAGTAGCTCAAAGTGCTGACGAGGCAGCCCAGGAGACACACAGGACCCTGATGTGGCACCATCTGCACGGGGCTGCATCGGATGTTCTCTGGTGTATTACTGGGCTCCCCAGAGTGTGGCTCCCAGGACAAAATGCGCCTCCAGCTGCGGCCTGGACCTGAGCAGAGGGCCCAGGACGGTTATCTCACCATCTCAGGCCAGACAGTGTGCTTCTCCTACTGTTGACTAAGATTTACTTAGGTGGTTTTTTTTGTTGTTGTTTTCTATTTTGTTTTGCTTCAGTGATAGCAGAGGTTAAGAGTACGATGGTTCATACAGAATGAAAACAATGTAGGGAAGGCAGAACAAACAATGGAACAACATTTTTGTAAAAGGAAAAACTAGAAGAGGACTTCACACTTTTACAAACCAAGAGAAAGGAAAGAGCTTGATGAGATGATCTGGGAATTACTGGGGTTCCATAAAATACAAAGAATACAGAGACTGAATCCCAAGAAATTCCCAGAAATGATACAGGAAAGTAGAGTGCAAACTGTCAGAATCCACAAGGTAGTACCAGAGAGGAATCCTAAGTTTAATTCAACCAGAAGAGTAGTCAACAAATTCTAGAGTTTCACCAATTAAAATAACAAAATGCATTAAAAATCTAGGAATCACTCCCATGAAGATACACACAGGAGTTAAATACAACAATTTTTGTGAAAATAAAATAAATAGGTGGAAAGATATTCAACGTCCCTAGGGAAGCTTTGAATTCTCATCCTAATGTAGTCAAATGATGATGCTACTAAAATTAATCCATATATTTAAAGCTATACTATTAAAATTACTTCACAGCATCAGAGAACATGGCAAAATTCACATGGAGAAAAAAGGTCAAGAACATTAAGAGAAAAAGTTGGGGGAACAGGTCTGATATTACCTAAAAAAGCAATTGTCAAAACTTTTTGGTGCTGAGGGAAAAAAGTGAAAAGCTGATCAATGTAACAAACTATTAGCAAGGAAAGTTGGATAGTAGTCTGGTTTAAACACACACACACACACACACACACACACACCCTCAGGGACACAAAGTAACAGGAAAAGAACTCATTATCCAGTCTGATTGTTGGGAAAAGTGGATAGCAGATAAGGAAGGAAATAGGTTTAGCTCAGCTTTTTGTAACATGTAACACAATGAATTCCAAATGGATAAACCAGGTAAATATAAGTCACACTATTAAAAAGTTGTTAGAGAATGGAAAGGAACATCTCTCACAATTATGTATGAATTTGAAACCAGGCATGATAAAGATTTTAAAATATGAAACAGAATACTCTGATTACATAAAAACAAAAGGCTTTTTGCACAAAATAAAATGCAACTACAACAAGATGAAAAGACATAAATTAAGAGGAAAATCTTTTTGTAAAATCTTTCCTATAAAAACCTGACACAAAATTGCAAGATTCCCCATTGTTTCTGTCCCCTCTCCAAAAGGAACGCAAATTACCAACTACCACTTAAATATGTGCTGAAAATAACTGATAAATTAAAGTGGCCCTGAAATCAACATATGATGAAAGATGAAAAAGTTGGGAGATGGGAAAACAATATGTGCTGAAAATAACTGATAAATTAAAGTGGCCCTGAAATCAACATATGATGAAAGATGAAAAAGTTGGGAGATGGGAAAACAGTATTTCACTGCTGGCAGAGTTCTGAGCTGTTGCAAATATTTTGGGAAACAATTTGGAATCATGAAAGACAAATTATAAAACTGTTCATACATTCTGACTCAGCAACCTGACTACTGAGTTTATACCTCTGAGTAAGTTATTAAAAATAGAAAAGAAAATATAAAAATATTCACAGCAGCACAATTTCCCCCCAAATTAATAGAGAATGTCTTGAGAGCCTACTATATTATGTTAGGGCCCGCAGAAGGAACATGATGTAGTCTTTGGGGTTAAGGAGTTTACAGTCTGGTCGGAGAGACAAGATGAACAGTCATGAAATAGCAATAAATACAAGAATGTTCCTTAATGTGTGGAAAATATTGTAGGACAGCATTAGTTCAGGAGACTTGGGCAGCTAGGGGGTGCAGTGGATAAAGTGCCAGGGCTGAAGTCAGAAGGTTTATCTTCATGAGTTCAAATCTGACCTCAGATACTTGTTCGTCCTTCATGCTCGAAGAGGACCAGAACGACATCTCAATGTCTGGGCTCATGCCCAGTGTGTCCGACTGTGGCTGATCATATCGATACATGTGCAGAAGGCTGTCTGGATGGAAGCCCCACTTGCTGCAGGCAGCAGGCTGGGGTTAGGTAGAGTGATCAATCTTCTCTAGCCCTTTTCTCACACCAGGAGTGAACAGCGTGGTTCTTAAGAATGCTGCTCAGACACCCAGGGGGCTTCTGAATTCCACCAAGGCTTCAGTCCGATGAGAAGATGGCCCGATGGCCCAGCCACCTGTGCACATGGAGGGTGTGACTACAGCTGTCTGTGTATTCACATTTGCTGCTTCATCACAGCTGGCTGTCACAGGAATTCAAGGTAGGTAACACAGCAGCACAGTAAAACAATAAGCAATGAAAGAGTAAAATAGTGGAATTGTTGTCTGTCTTTTGTTTTTGAAGAGGATCAATGACATCACACGGTGATGTCTTGACTCATGTGAATTGGATTTAAGTGACACAGGATTACACAAAATCATCGGCCGCACTCTCTTCTAGTCACTGGAGTCCAGTGGCAGGACAAAAGTCAGGACGCCTGGTGATGGCTCAGGATGGCAAGGATGACCTTGGCCTCTCCGTGTCTGACCAAGCTGGTTCTGGGCAGTCTTCACTTGTGTCTGGTCAAAATGGTGGCAGTGGCTTGACCCACACAGCACATACTCTTCCAAAGGACATTTTTGCTGTTCCAGACTAGCTTGTCTGCCCTGTGGGTGGCAGTTAGTACTTTTGGGGGATGGTAGGTCTCCTCTGCAGAGGTTGGCCACCTGGACAACGGCTATGGGGGCAGGCTGGAAGCAGGACAGGTGGTCTGGGAGGCACTGATACTCCTGGGTCTCCCGGGCTTACCTACCCAGTGGTGGCTTTCTCCACAAATTGTCCCCCTCAAAGATGACTTTAGAGGGTTAAGGGCCGAGCTGTTTCTCTCTGAAAAAAGAGGACCTGGCTTCAGTCCCTTGCCCCCTTTTCATATCGATTGTGCCCTGCCAAGTCCCAGCCTTGGACCACTCCCCCATCTGCTGCCTTTGCTCCTACACACAGGCTACTGAACAAAGGTGGAGAAAATCATGCACCTGATCTGTTGGGAGCACTTCAAATCTTCGTACAACCTCAACTGCTGGACAGTCCTTTCCTTATGCACCCTCTGCTGCCGGGCAATCCTACTACATCTCCCTAATTAACCGGCTATCCCACTCACCACGGGCTCTTCTAACCTCTTCATCCCACCTTGAACCTCCCATGGATCCACTTTCCCCTATCCTCTTGGCTAAGAACCTTACCTCATATTTCAATTAAAAAATCAAAGCCATTTGCTGTGAGCTCTGCCTTCTGTCCTCATCTTGCATTACCTAGATGCCTTGGCCACATTACCTCCTTCACCCTTCTCACAAGAAATGGCCCTTCTCCTTGCTAAGACGAACCCATCTACATTCATAAATGATTCCATTCCATCCCATCTTCTCCCGTCATTCCCCTTTCACTTCTTTTAAATCTCTCCCTGTCTCGACTCCTTCCCCACTGTCTACCAACATGCCCATGTCTCCCCTTATCCTGAAAAAAACCCTCATTAGATCCTTCTATCTCAGCTCTTATCCCATATCTCTCCTACCTTTTGTGGATACACTCCTTAAAAAGGCCAGCTACAAAAAGTGCCTCAGCTTCCTCTCCTCAGTCTCTGAGCTCTTGACAATCTGGTTCCAACCTAACCACTCAACCAAAACTACTCTCTCCTACCAATGATCTCTCAATCTTCATTCCCCTTGACTGCAGACTTTGATACCGTTCATCACTCCTCAATGTTCTCTTCTCCCTGAGTTTTTGGGGTACCCCTATCTCCTGCTTTCCTCCTACCTTGTCCAACCATTCCTTCTCAGTCTCCTTCACTGGATCCTCCTCCACATCTCACACTTTAGCTGTAGATGTTCCTCAGTGTTCTGTCCTGATTCCTCATCTCTTCTCCCTCTATACTACTTCACCTCAACTCTCATGGATTTAATTATCCTTAGCAATTAGGATTTTTTAATTAATTAAAATAATTTAATTTTAATTCTCCATGCTGATAATTCTCAAATCTACCTTTCCTGCCTCAAACTCCCTGCTGACCCCCAATCTCTCATCTCCAACTGACTTTTATATATCTCAAACTGGATGTCCAGTAGACATCTTAAAGTCAATGTCCAAGACTGATTGTCTCCCGCCCCGCCCCAGTACTCCCCTCCTCCAACATTCTCTATTACTGTCAAGAGCACCACTCTCTAGGTTCCAACCTAGGAGTCATCTTGGATCCCTTACTATCAGCCTCCCATATCCAATCTGTTGCCAAGGCCTCCTACTCAGTCAACTCCAGTGGTTCCCTACCACCTCCAGGATCAAATGTAAAACACTCAATCCGGCAGTCAAAGCCCTTCATAGCCTAGCCCCTCCTCCTACTTTTCTAGTCTTCTTGCACATAATATCCACCCCTCCCATTTATTCTTCAATCTAGTGACAATGACCTATTTGCTGTTCTTCAAATAAGACCCCATCTCTAGGCTCTGCCCATTTTCTCTGGCTGTCTCCCATTCCTAGAACACTCTCCCTAATCCACTCTGATTACTGACCTACATGGTTTCCTTTAAGTCCCAAACTAAAACCCCACCTTCTATTAGAAACTTTTACTAACGTCCCTACAATTCTAGAGCCTTACCTCCATTGATTATTTCCAGTTGTTTTCATATTATTTCCACCATTAGACAGTGAGCTCCTTGAGGGCAGGGACTGTCTTTTGACCTTCTATATATCCCTGAAGCTTGGTGCTTGGTACAGTGCACAACAGGTACTTAATAAATGCTTATCAACTGACTGACCTATAAGTGAACTCCCCCTTTCAGAAGTAGCAGACTTAGCTCACAGGTAAACTCTCTTTATGATTCACATATTCACTCTTTTTTTTTTTAAAGGCAATTGGGGTTAAGTGACTTGCCCAGGGTCACACAGCTAGTAAGTGTCAAGAGTTTGGTCTGAGGCTGGATTTGAACTCAGGTCCTCCTGACTTCAGGGCCAGTGCTCTGTCCACTGTGCCACCTAGCTGCCTCTCACATATTCACTCTTGACCAGCTCCTCTTCTTCCTCTCTCAGAAAGCACTGTGTATATCATCTCCTGTTGTCAATCTATCTGGTATTTGTGAATGAACCAGTGGATCAGGTAATTCAGAGAGAACAGAATTTTCCCTGGCTCTGACTCCTAATCCTCTGACTTCTTGGCACAGGCCATGTCTGAGTCAGGGTGGTCAGATAGTTCAGACTCGATAATGGAAGGAAATGAGACACTCATAGACTAACAGTTAGAAAAAGGTTTACTTCACCTGAGCAATGGAAAAGGTGCTCGGCATGCATACAGGTGGCTTAGGTAGATGCAGGCTGCAGGCTTCCCTTCTTTCCATAGAGAAACCCATCTGGTCAGCAAGGCAGGGTGTGGTGACTCCCTTTGAGGGGCAGCGATGCCTCCCAGGCTGGCCTCTCTTAAGGCATTTGGTGACTGGGAAGCTGTGACTCTCCTGGGCCCCTCAAGGCCTTTTAAGAACTAGCCTATCCTGGGTGGAATAAAGCCTGAGGAGAAAGTGCTTAGAGCCTGTTTTGTTAGTGCCTTCAAAGTGTCCTTATTTTTATTCTCTGTATTCACCTCAAAAATCAGAAGAACCTTTGAGTTTCTAATTGAGGGCAAGAGCTGTCTTTCTTTTTTCATATTTGCATTTCCAGCTCTTAGCACAGTGCCTGGTACACAGTTGGTGTTTAATACATGCTAACTAACTAAACTACACCTTTTAAGTAATTTATATCCCATTTGGTCAATAGGCTGATCTACTGTGGCTGCTCCCAGCAAGACCTCGGCAGAGAAATAAAAGATATGCACTGTTATACCAGATAACACAATACATCAATGATGTGTGACAGGTGGCAATTAAAAGTGAAGCAAAGACGCAGGTCAGCAGCAAGGACAGACACCTGCACATGAACAGGTGACTAAATCCTATTTAGCCTCCAAAAAGCATAATGGGAAGACAGGAATTTCATATGTAAATTTAACACCAGAAGGCAGAAGATTGAGTACAATGAAGGCAACTATAACAGAAAAGTAGAAAACCAAATCGGGGGAAAAAACAGCAGTAGAAACAGAATTTAAAACAAAATTGGGCTATAAAATTTCACTGAGAAAGGAACAAACATACTTTATAAAAAGAAAAGTTTATTAAACTCCAAAATCAATGCATCAAAATAAACCTGAAATGGCATAAAAATTATTTAAAAATGGGAAAAATTATAGAAAAGATATCTTCAATGTTTATAGTAGTGGTGCTGGAAAATTCAGTTGAAGAGCAGCAGGGAGAAAGAATTAAAACAATATCCAAGATTCTAAATCCAGGGAAAGGTTTTTAAAGTTAAAAAAATCCTCAGGCAACTGCCCTCTTAGCATCTGTTGGTGGTATGCTTCTAGCAGTGTAAGCTGAAGACTGTGATGACTTATGAAAACCAGTTCCTCCGCACCACTGGCCTCCACCCTTGGAGGGGTGACATTCTCTGTACCAGCTTCTCTTTAGCTGTGCCTTTCTTTAAAGCGCCCTCCCTAGGCACTAGCTCCCTCTGATGCTGCAGAAGAAATCTGAGGCACTGAAGGCAACTAGCTCTTGAGCAGTGAATCCCAGCTTTTCCTTTGCTACCCAACCAGCCTCAGGCTCTTTGGCCCAGGGAGGGAAATCCAGATATCACTAGAATCTTTTTGTTCATCTTGAGCCTCCAGCTGAGCGTTCCAGCCATTAGAAGACCTGTCCTTCAATGATCTTGGCCACCTGGAGGCAAGAAGCTATCACACTCCTCTTCCTTATATATTTAGCTATTCATTATCTCCTCCCCTCCCACCTGCATTTAAGCAAATGAAATACATACAGACCATTAATGCAGAGATTAACCACAGTTTTATCTTAATAATGCTTTTAAAGGGTAGATGAACAGGAATGTAGAGAAAGACGAACTTTGGACAAAGACATGCTGTTCCTGGAGCAAGAAATATAAGAAGGGAAACAGAATCCTTGCCTTAGATGTGCATCTCCCTTTGGGCAAGTTCAGTAACACGAGGATGTCCCCAGATGCTCCTCTTGGCCCTGGAGTATAGTGCTGACCTCACGGCTGCATCCCTGCTCTCACTTTCCTGGCAACTGGTCTCTTGATGCTCTAATCAACTTCTGGTGAAGCTGTTGCCAGGGCCTTAGTGACCACTCTCTAGACCAATGAGCACCCCACGTGGTGTCTCTGCCCTTTCTCCTGGGGTGGCAGCCTGGCGTAAAGCACTCAGTAGCAGCAGACCAGGTACACAGGGCGCAGGAGTCTGGGGTGCAGCCCACCTTATCATGGACCAACTGACAGCATCACCTGTTCTGCTCTTCCCCAATCCCTTAGGAAAGGTGAGAGGCTTAGCTTTCAGTGACAGTTACAGCCCTCCAGAGGCTCAAGTAACTAAGAATTTTGCCACCAGAGATCTCCACCGCCTGGTTATTCACATACATACATACATACATTTATATATGAGGATGGGAGAGAGAGAAAGCTGCCTGTGTACATCTCCAAAGTTAGCTATTATAAAAAGTAGCCTCAAAGGAGGAAGAATAACAACTCAGACACTCAGAAATTCTCAGGAGACAAAACTCAAGAAAGGAGCCAGAAGTCAAAGTCATGGCCTCAAGCAGCTACATACAAATGCCCAACAAACCATGGCAACCACAGGTCTTAATGCCAGGAGGCAAATCTGACCTCAGAGACATCGATGAGATTTAGTAGGATAAAAACAATGATGGACCCCTCTTAATTCCAGGGCCTTCTCTCTGTTAATTGTTTCCTATTTAACCTGTATATAGCCTGCTTCCTATCAAGTTGTTTGCAAGTTGTCTCCCTCCTTAGAGTGTAAACTCTTTGAGGACAGTTTGTCTTGCTTCTTTTTTGTATCCCCACACTCAGCACAGTGCCTGGCACATAGTAAGTGCTTAAAAAATGTTTACTGATTGAGGACAGCTGGGTGGCGCAGTGGATAGAGCACCAGCCCTGAAGTCAGGAGGACCTGAGTTCAAATCCGGCCTCAGACCAAACACTTGATACTAGCTGTGTGACCCTGGGCAAGTCACTTAACCCCAATTCCTAAAAGCAAAAAAAGAAAGTGTTTACTGATTGACTGAAGTGGGCTTTGACAAGGAGAACTTCATTTGTTCATTAGAGATGAAGCAGAGGAGAAATGTAGGATGACAAGGAGCAGTTTTAAGACATGAAATTGTAAAGAAGAGGACACTCAATACACAGCTTCCAGTTTTTTTTCAAGGTAAAGGAGCAGGCAAGATTTGCAGCTGAGCTGGAGTGAGAGGTGGAGAAGTATGGAATAGGCAGCGAGATGTGGATCCGTCTGGGACAAATAAAAGGGTGAGCAGACATCAGTGAAGACAGAGCTGAGATCAGAGAACACCCACTTGTAAGGGACCCACTTAACACAGTTGTGTGACTTTCTCCAGGAGCAGTGGGGGTAACCCAGTGGTGAGGATTAGCAAGGCATGAGCAGAAATAAGAGGACAAGGAGGGCTTCAAGGGTGGAGGACACTGGATAGTTTCAGTGGTTAATGCAGCTCTTATTGGGAATGACAAATTGTTCTGCACCAACCCTGCGTCATCTCATAGTATAACAAGGTGGCTATTTCTCTCCAATCTGTTTTTAGATTTTAACTTTGTCAAGATTGTGCTGGGCAGTATGTCCTATCTATTGCTGTTTTAATCTATACTGATTAAGCAGTCTTTTAGGTGGTGAACAGAATTTGTACTTTTTAAAGAACTGCCTTGTAGCGCAGTGCTTTTATTTATAAGGGAATGGATCTTAGTCTTAGACGGGTGTATTGTTCTAATACAATTCAATTCAGTTCTACTTATGGGATGCAATATGCACACAAGCACAACATATAAGCAGAATGATTGGGACTCGGGACGGGGGGTGGACGGGACGGGGGGTATTTGGCACAGGGCATGGAAACCTGGAGTCATCAGGAAACAATACTGAGATAACCCAGAAAGCCCTAATAAATACAGAAGACAGAGTCTGAGCTGAGCCTTGATGAGAGCTACAGACTCTAAGAGGCTGAAGAGGGAGAATGTTCCAGGCACAGGGGACACAGCTCGTACAAAGGCACAAAGGAAGGAGATGTGGTGCCACCTTCATGGAAAAGAAAGAAGGCCAATGTGGTTGGAATACATGGAGTATGTAAAGGGGAACAACTGTGAAGTTAATCTGGAAAGGTAGGATGGTTTTAGAATACAAGGAGCTCGAAGTACCCCCAAAGAGAAGTTATTATTTCACGCAGGAAGGAAGAGGAAGCCACTGAAGACTCTTGAACAGACTCACGTCAGATCAGGCTTCTGCTCTAAGAGGCCATTCTGACGGCACAATTTGTGGCGTATAAACTGCTACATGGAGGTACAGGAAACAGGGAGGCCAACAGAAAGGTTGTTCCAAAGGTCTTGTTGACAAAAGAGGAGACCTGGAGCTAGGTGGCCAAACGAGGTGAGTGGAAAGGAACAGTGCTCAACATGTTACAAAGGTAAAATGGACAAGATCTGAGACCGACTGGATAGGAATGGGAGGGAGAGAGATAAGATCTAGGGGACAATAAAAGGAAACAGCTTTGTCAAGGAGCAGGAAGAACCCTTTCTCCATGACTAAGAAAAAAGAGGGCGAGCTCCTGTCAGATTGTGACAATTTTAAAAAAGTATTTTGAGAGTCTAAGTCACCTGCAATATGAGTGGCTGGTTTGGGATTTCAGAAGAGAATGAAATGGTTTGGAACTGCTTCTGTGGGAAATTAGCCAGAATTTACTTCCTCTACAGGATTTCTCTCTAGTTTGAAGGAACTAATTTTTGGCAAAGTTGGTACTCAGGTTGAAAATTTTACATTCACAAGGCTTTACCTTCATAAGGTGTCTCCCCAGTTTGAATTCTGTAATGCTGAGTAAGCTGTTTGCTCAGGCGAAAGTTATTTCCACATTCATTACACTGATAAGGTTTCTCTCCAGTGTGAATTCTCTGGTGTTCTGCAAGTCCTGTCTTTAGGCGGAAGGTCTTCCCACATTCATCGCACTCATAGGGTTTCTCTCCAGTATGAATTCTCAAATGTCCAGTAAGCCCTGTACTTCGACTAAAAGCTTTTCCACATTCGTTACATTCATAAGGCTTCTCTCCAGTATGAACTGTCTGATGTTGAGTAAGATGTGACCTTTGGCCAAAGGCCTTCCCACATTCATTGCATTCATATGGTTTCTCTCCAGTATGAATTCTCTGATGCCGATTAAGCTGTGTACTCTGGCTAAAGGCTTTCCCACACTCAATGCATTCATATGGTTTCTCTCCCGTATGATTTCTCTGATGCTCAGTAAGTCCTATGCTTAGACGGAAGGCTTTTCCACATTCGTTACATTCAAAAGGTTTCTCTCCAGTGTGAATTCTCTGATGTTCTGTAAGTGCTGTGCTAAGCCTAAAGGCCTTCCCACATTCTTTACATTCAAAAGGCTTTTCTCCAGTATGAATTGTCTGGTGTCGACTAAGCCCAGCACTTCGGCGGAAGGCCTTCCCACATTCATTGCATTCATATGGTTTCTCTCCAGTATGAATTATCTGATGTCTAGTAAGCTGTGAGCTCTGACAGAAAGTCTTCCCACATTCATTACATTCATAAGGTTTCTCTCCAGTATGAATAATCTGATGTTGAGTAAGCTGTGTTCTCACTCGGAAGGCCTTCCCACATTCATTACATTCATAAGGTTTCTCTCCAGTATGAATTCTCTCATGTTGAGTAAGTCCTATTCTCTGGCAAAAAGTCTTCCCACATTCCTTACATTCATGAGGTTTCTCTCTGGTATGAATTCTCTGATGCTGAGTAAGTCCTGCTCTCTGACAGAAGGCTTTCCCACATTCGTAACATTCATAAGCTCTCTCTCCAGTATGAATTCTCTGATGTTCAGTAAGTCCTGTTCTATGATGGAAGGCCTTCCCACAGTTCATACATTCATAAGGTTTCTCTCCAGTATGAATTCGCTGATGTATAAATAATCGTGTGCTCAGGCTAAAGGCTTTCCCACATTCCTGACATTCATAAGGTTTTTCTCCAGTATGAATTGTCTGATGCTGAATAAGTGCTGAGCTTTGGTGGAAGGCTTTCCCACAGTCACAACATATGTAAATTTTCTCTCTGGTATGAATTATCTGATGTCTAGTAAGCTTTGAGCGCTGTCGGAAGACCTTTCCACATTCACTGCATTCATAAGGTTTCTCTCCAGTATGGATTCTCTTATGTTCAGTAAGCTGTGAATTCCTACAGAAGGCCTTTCCACATTCCTTACACTCATAAGGTTTCTCTCCAGTATGAATTCTCTGATGCTGAATAAGTCCTGGTTTCTGGCAGAAGGCTTTCCCACATTCATAACATTCATAAGCTCTCTCCCCACTATGAATTCTCTGATGTTCAGTAAGTCCTGTTCTATGATGGAAAGTCTTTCCACAGTCAATACATTCATAAGGCTTCTCTCCAGTATGAATTCGTTGATGTCCTATAAATCTTGAGCTGAAGATTTTCCCAGAGTCATTGTATTCATAAGGTTTCTTTCCAGAATGAATAGTTTGATGCTGAATAAGGGCTGCTCTCTGGTGTAAGCCTTTCTCATAGTCACTGCGTACGTAAGCTTTTTCTCTAGTATGAATCATCTGATGTCGATCAAGCTTTGAGCACTGGCAGAAGGCCTTCCCACAGATTTTACATCTGCAAAGCTTCTCTCCAGTATGAACTTTCTTATGTTCAATAAACTGTGAGTTCCTGGAGAAGGCCTTCCCATATTCCTCATATTCATAACATTTCTTTCCAACATGAACTGGCTCATACTCCATGAGGTCTGATATATAATTAAAGGATTTCCCACATTCATTATACTTGCTCTCTCTATATATATCGTATTTAGGGACACTCTTCTCACTGTCCTGCTGCCTCTCTAAATGAGTACCACATTTCCAGGCTTCTCCCCAACTGAAAGCACAGGGATTATCTCTTTCAAGTCTTTCCTGGGATGGTTCTTGCGTCAGAGGTCTCAGATGTGAAGCTGACTCCTTAGTTTCAAGTCTAGTTTCCCAAACTGAAAGAAAAAAACAAAGAGTAAATATCCTCTGCATCGCCTGCTACACACACAGCTTTTAATCTATCAAGGAATGTTCTTGGCAAAAATAACTTTAGCTCTATAGGAATAAGTAAAGTTCTTCAAAATCCTTCAAGGCCTACACAAATATGTATTATTGTTGTCACCATTATTATGTGAAGGCCAAGTGTATCTTGGAGGGGTGGGCTTGGAGACAGGCCCAGAAACAGCCCTACCTAGGTCTGTGATGTACAAGAAACTGAAGCAATTCTTGAGCGTTGGTAGTGACACCAGGAAGAACTGTGTTCAAATCCTCCTGATACTAACTGTGGGATTATGGGTGAGTAATGGGACTATCCTGAGACTCAGTTTCCTTAGCTATAACATGGAGAAGGCAAGTCAGCTAGGATGTTCTCAAAAGAGGAAACTGAGGCTCAGACTGACTTGGGGACCTGCTCGGGAACATGCTGCTAATCAGCGTCCAAGGTGAATTGTGGCACAAGGTTTTGTGATCCAGCGCTAAGGCCCTTCTCACCAGCCCAGAGAGCTTCTCTACAAACAAGAGTGTCCCTGCTTGGAGCAATTCTAAAGGCAAGAACCAGGACAAATAGATGGAAAATACATAGGCCACCATCAGCTCAAGAAAAAGACTGTGGGTTCTGACAATCTGAACTAGACAGGCCGATTCACAGATTGTTGGGGCTAGAAGATAATTTAGAGATTATCTAGTCCAGGGGTTCTTAACTTTTTTTGTATGTCATAGACCCCTCTAGTAATCTGCTGAAACCTATGGGTCACTTCTTAGAATGTTTTTAAATGCATAAAACAAAATATATGAGATCACAAGGAAACCAAGTAGATAGATATACACTTATCAAACTATTTTTTTAAAAGTTCCGGTTAAGAACCTCTGATATAATCCAAATCCCTCACCTTACAGATAAGGAAATTGAAGCTGGGCAGTTAAATGCAAATAGCAGTAGGGGTAGAACTGGACAGTTCACACACCAAACCTTCCCCTTGTCTTAACTCGCCTACTACTGCTGAGGGCACCACCATCCTCCTAGTCCCCCAGGTTTACAACCCAAGCATCATTCTCCACTACCCACTCTCACCCTGCACATCCAATCAGTTGTCAAGCCCTATGGTTTCTGCCTTCGTAAAGTTTTTCATACATGTCCCTTTCTCTCCTGACCCTGCCCCCACCCTGGTGCAGACCTTCATCACCTCACTTCTGACGACTGCTCCAGCTGCTGGAGAGTCTGCCTGCTTCAAGTCTCCCCTGCTTCCCCCCTCCAAAGTAACTTTCCTACAGAGCAGAGTGACCATGCCACCCCTCTATCCAATAAGCTAGCATGGCTCCTGTTACCTCTGGGATCAAACACAAAATTCTTGGTTTGGCATTCAAAGCCCTTCATAACCCAGCCCCTTCCTACCTTTCTAGTCTTCTTACACCTTACTTCCCCTGCCATACTTTGTGACAGTGACCCTAGCCTCATGGTTCTTCTTCTAAAATACACTCCAGGCTTTTTTAAGGGCTGCCCCCATGCTGGAACTCTCTCCTTCTCACCTTTGCTCCCCGGCTTCCCTGACTGCCTGCAGGTCTCAGCTAAAGTTCTATCTTCAGCAAGAAGCTTTTCCTAGTCCTTCTCAATCTTAGCGCCCTCTCACAGACACTTTTGCTGTTGTTGAACTGTTTTTCAATAGGGTCTTTGTGACCCCATTTGGGGTTTTCTTGGCAAAGATATTGGAGCGGTTTGCCATTTTCTTCTCCAGATCATTTTACAGATGAGGAAAATGAGGCAAACAGGGTGAAGTGAACTGCCCAAAGTCACACAGCTAGTAAGTGTCTGATTTGAACTCAGGTCTTCCTGACTTCAGGCTCAGCGCTCTCTATCCACAGAACCACCTAGCTACCCCATTAGAGTTATTCACTGTTAGGTTTATTATTGAATAAAATTTGGTAGAGAGACTATCAGAAGGGGAGGAGGGAATGGCAAACCACTCCAGTACCTTTGCCAAGAAAACCCCAAATGGGATCATAGTTGGGCACGACTCAGCACACAGTAGGTGCTTACTAAATGTTCATTAATTGACTGTCTATTCAGCAGATGCTGCACCTTCACGCTTCATACAATGAAATGAGCAGCCACACTGACAGTTCAGAAGGCATTTCCTGGGACAGAGACGCTAAGAAGAAGCACCACTTACTCCTTCCTCAGCATGAATATGAACCTTTCCAGAACAGCAGAGCAGTGGGCAGTGAATGGCGGCATCCCAGACTGGAGAGCAGGACTTGCCCTGTGGCCTCCAGCCCTGCCCACACAGGCTTATCCCCCAGGAAGGGCTGCCCACAGCCTCCCCAGGCAACCACCTCTCCTGGGGGACCTCTCCTGCTCAGGAACTTTTCCTCAAAGCCTACACTGGTCTCTCTGTGGCTTCTGCCTATGCTCCTGCTTCAGCCTTCCGGGGCCACTGAGAATAATAATAATGGTAATTATAGCCGACACTGATAGAACCCATACTCCATGCCAGGCACTGTGCCTACACTCTTTGCAATGATCTCATCTGACCCTCACAAGTCTGGGAGTCAGGCGCTGTTATTATCCCCATTTTACAAATAAGGAAACTGAGGCAACCAGACCTGCCCAGGGTCACACAGCTAGTAAGTGTCAGAGGCTAGATTTGAACTCAGGTTTTTTTGACTCCAGGCCCAGTGCTCTATCCACTGCATGAATCCCTCTCCAAATACTTGAAAACAGCTCTGCTCCACCAAGTCCCTCTGCTTTCCAGGCCTTTCCCTTTTGTTCCCCTTCCCTACCTTTTCCCTTTCCTTTCCTCTCCTCCCTCCCTTCCTCTCTCTTTTCCAAACAGCAAAGGATAAAGGCCTGTAATCATGAATAACTTAACTAAGCAGAACTGCGTATAATCCTACAGTTGGGAAAAAAGAAAAAGACCTTCCATGAAATAAAGGACTTCCAAGAATTCTTGAAGAAAAGCCCAGAACTGAACAGAAACTTTGAAATGCAGAGGACTCGAGATAACTATAAAAAGGTAAATGAATGAGCAATCACACTGAAGGTGGACTAAAGGATGAGCAGTTTACATTCCAATATGGAGAGATGATACGCATGCCCCTTCAGAATCCCATCAACATCAGGGCTCACAGAGGGAATCTTATGAGAGGGCCTGTAAGGAGTTTTGTCATGTTTTGAAGATCCTGAAAGAAGAAAAAGGAAGAAAAAATGTCTATTAGGTTAAAAAAATTAGAGGAGAAATGGAGACCTTATTATAGCTCATAATGGGAGTGTGCAACCAGAAATCTATACAAATGTGGGGAGCAGGCATTACCTGAACCTCACTTTTATCTCAACTGCTCAAAGGAAGGTAGAACATTAAATATACACATAACAATTTTGGTGTAGAAATAAAGTACTCAACAAGGAAACAGAAGGGAGCAGAGAGAGACTAATGGAGGAACTAACAGGAAGGGTAGATTCATGTAAGAATTAGACATAACTAAAACAAACTCTAAGCCCAGAGGGTAGGATCATGAAGAGGAGGGTAAAATGAAAAAAAGGTGTGTGTGTGTGTGTGTGTGTGTGTGTGTGTGTGTGTAGGAACAAAACGAAGAGGGGGTGGAGAGCAAAAGCTAGGAAAAAACATAAAAGAACAAGAGGGACAGACATCAATGAGTCAACACTGTGACTGTGAAAGGGAAATGGAAAGCAGATGGATCTGGAAGCAGAAACCAACAGTGCTACTGGTGAAAAACACTGGAACATATAGATACACAACATTAAGATGAGGGGTTGGAGCAAAATTTATTACACTTTAGCTGAACTCAAAAAAAGCAGTGGTAGTGATCATTATTTAAGACAAGGAAATAATAAAAATAGACTTAATCAAAAGAGATAAACTGTATTTTGCTAAAAGGTACCATAGACAATAAATCATCTTTAATACTTAACATAAAATAAAATGAATGACATAGCACCTAAATGTTTAAAGGAAAACCTCAATGATTTACAGGGAAAAATAGATAATAAAATCAAAGTAGTGTCTGACCTCAACATATCCTTTTCAGACCTAGAAAAATCTAGTAAAAGTAATAAACTAGAAAAAAATTAAGGCTTGAACAGATTTTAGAGAAGTTAGATATGATAGAATGCTATATCTAGCTAGTATGGAGTTCAAATAGGAATATAAATATTGTCAGTTGTGTGCAGCACCTTTATGAAAACTGATTACATGTTAGGACAGAAAAAATCATAAATGTGAAAAATAGAAATATTAAACACATTCTTTATTCACATCAGTGCAATAAAAATTATATGAATTAAGGGGTATTGAAGAAAAGATGACAAGTCTTTTGGAGACTTAATCCTAAAGAACTGGATGCTTAAAGACATCATGGAAATAACCAAAATTTTATTTAAAATAATCATAACAATGAGACAACATAAAGATATTTTGGAGATGCAACTAAAGCAATACTAAGAGGAAAATTTACATCTCTAAAAAGCTGCATGAACAAATGAAAGAACAGGCTAACAAACTGGACATCTAACTTTAAAAAAAAACCAACCTAGAAAATCAACAAATTCTAAAATCTCAATTAAACACCAAAATAGAAACCCTGAAACTCAGAGATAAACAAAACTGAAAGCAAAGACAAACAAAAAAACACTGACTAAATAAAATTTAAATCGTTTTAGAAGGGAAAAAACAATAAAATAGATAAACCATTAACCGATCCGATTAAAAAGAATGAGGAAAACCAAATTACCAGGACCAAAAAATGAAAAAGGAGAATTCACTACACATGAAGAAGAAATTAAGGATATAACTGAAAATCACTTTGTCCAGCTATATGGGGTATTTAGGTATAAGCCTACAATAAACAAATATTTACAAAAACATAAACTGCCTGGATTAATGGAGTAAGAAACAGAGAATTTAAACAATTCAAACTCAGAAAAACAAACTGAATAAGACATGAATGAACTTTCAGAAGGAAAAAAAAACCCGAAGACAAGATGGATTCACAAGCAAATTCTTATTTTAAAGTTAATGCGACTTAATCTGTCTCTAAGACTACATCAATGTTTATTAGGGACATTGGTCTGTAGTTTTCTTTCTCTGCTTTGCCTCTCCCTGGTTTAGGTATTGAGAACCTATTTGTTTCATACAGACTGAAATATCTTCTTTTCTTATGACTGCAGATAGTTCATGTAGTTTTGGAATTAACTGTTCTTTGAAAATTTGATAGCTTTCAATTGTAAACTCATCTGGTTCTATAGTATTTTCTTCCCTTTGGAGAGTTCATCTGTAGTCTGTTCAATTTATTTTCCTGACACTGGATTATTTAAATAGTCTATTTCTTCTTTTATTAATATGGGCATTTTATATTTTTTAAATATTCATTTATCAGTTTTGTTGACATAGGATTGGTGAAGGACTTTGTGATAATTTTCTTTATTTCTTCAATTGTGAATTCTTTTTTATTAGTTTGAGATTTTTGATTTCTCAAGTATTTTAAGTTATATGTATTTTTCATTTATGCTTTCTCTCTTTTGTTGATGAAAGCATTTAGAGATATAAAAGTTACCCTCAGATCTGTTTTAGCTACATCCCGTAAGTTTTGGCATATTTTCTCATTACTATCATCTCTTTTGATGACATTTTCTGTTGTTACAATTTTTCTTTAACTCACCCATCAATTCTTTAGAATTATGCTAGTCTCTGATTACTTTTAATTCTTAGGCCTTTTATCGAATATACCATTTATTGCATTTTGTTCAATAGTATTTTTGCTTTTCAACATTTTGTGGTGAGGCTTTTATGGTCAATTTTTATAAAAGTACCGTGTATAGTGTACACTAGTATGTAAATTCCTTTTTTTTTTTTTTGGCTAGGCAATGGGGTTAAGCGACTTGCCCAGGGTCACACAGCTAGTAAGTGTTATGTGTCTGAGGCCAGATTTGAACTCAGGTCCTCTTGAATCCAGAGCTGGTGCTCTATCCACTGCTCCACCTAGCTGCCCCTGTAAATTCCTTTTGATTCCCATGCAGTAATCACAAGAAAGACATCATACCTTTTTTTCTCCCCCAATGTATTATGCAGGTCCTTCATGTCTTTTTTTTTTTTCCAGTTAATTTGTCTAGATCTGAAAGGGGTATGCTATGTCCCCACACTATTACAGAGCTACTATTTATTTCTCACTCCAATTCAATTACTTTCCTTTTAATTATTTAGATGTTATCCTACACACACACACACACACACACACACACACACACACACACGTACTAATATTGCTTGGTTATCTATGAACATCTATCTTGGTTACCTATGGAAATTAAACACAATTTAATTTCCCCACTTCTCACTTTGTATCTTGTCTATTTATGATAGTATTATCTGAAATGTGACTGTTATCCCTGTTGCTGAGAGTTTAGCTGAAGCATGAGATTTTGCTCTAGACCCAATTCTTATGTTTCATGTTTCTTATGAACATCATAATCAGATCCTGCTTTCTAATAATCTGCTACTCTTTTCCATTTTATGGCTGACTTGATCTCATTTACATGCTTAAGTTCTGACTGTAAATTGTATATTTTCCTCCATTCTGTCCTCTGGTACTTTTCAGTCAATAAACATTTATTAAGTGCCTACAATGTGTGCAGGCACTGTGCTACATTAGGGATACCAAACAAAAACAAAGACAATCCTTGCTCTCAAGGAGCCTACAATCTACTAGAAGCAAGACAACACACACAAAAAAAAGGAAGCTGAAAAGCAATGGGGGGGGGTGACAGGAGGAAGGTACCTGGTATGGGAGCATGATGGAGAAGTTCAAGAGCAGGACAGCTGGTGGTAAATGGGGAGAAGACTGAGGTGTGCCCCCTCCTTAAATGGAAACCCTGGAGCCCATATCCCTGCCCTCCAATAAGAGAGTCCAATCAAAAGGACAGAGGACATTGATGAGATGTGAGTACCAGGCAGATTTAACTTTGCAGGATAATGAAATTTCCCCATGATAAGTTTCCTGGTGAAGGAAGACATGATGGAGAGGTCCAAAGAAGTCCAAAAGCAAGGTAGCTCTTTGCTTGCATCTCTCTCTTTACAAATAAGGTGGTAGAAAAGTGTGAGTCTGCATGTTGCTTGTGATCTTAAACAGCCTTTTTCCTCTCTGGTACAGCTCTTCTCATGCCCCTCCCCTGCCTTCAATGCCAGTTTTTCCTTTCACTTTCCATTCAGGGTTCTCTCTAACAACAGAGTTTGTTTTCCTTGACAATTTACTTACCTAACCTTCAGACTCTTCTCTACCCTTCCCTTATTACTGTCCTCTCTTTCCCTTCTGAGTTCATGTAATTCTATAGCAAAATCTCTGTGTAATTAATTATGTTTAGTCTTAATCCAGACCCAATTCAGAGGAAAGTGAGATTCATGTGATGCCCTTTCACTCCCTCCATTGATTTCCTTGATGGATTGATTGACTTGGCCAGTCAAGAAGCATTTATTAAATGCCTACCATGTGCCAGGCACTGCTGAGCACTGGATGGCTATATATACTTCCACTTACACACCTCTTTTATGCAATAGTAATTTCCTTCACCCTCTTTCATCTTTTCTTCTCCAGTATTATCCCGTGCCTCCCATTTTTGTCTTCTAAGACCATCAAAAAAATCAGTAGGCCTTCTGTTATTTTAACCTTGCCCTGCGACCCTTAAAGATATTAGGATTCTGAGAAAACATCTATTTCTCATCCCCCAATTAACATGTAAACAATTCATCTTTTCATATTCTATTTTGATTAAACATATATCTTTTGATGTTTCTCTTGGCACATGCATTTCCATTTCAAGATATCTATTCAGTTCTGGTTATTTCATCAGGAACACTTGGAAATCCTCTATTCTATTAAATGTCCATTTCTCCCAAAATGATTATATTTGCTTTTAATGCATAGGTTGTCTTATCCTGTGTCTTTTGGAATATTGTATTCCAAGCTCTGCTCTTATTTGGGTGGCAACTGCTAAGTCTTATACGATGCTTATTGTAGCTACTTGGTGCTTGAACTCCTTCCTTTTGGCTGCCTGTGTTTCTTCCTTTACCCATAAGTTCTGGATTTGGGCTATGGTGTTCCTAGGAGTTTTTAATTTGGAGTTTCTTTTCAGAGGTGACAGGATTATTTCCATTTTGACTTTGGCTTCTGATTCAAAGAGTTCTGGAAGTTTTTAGTTATAGTTTCTTGATACCTGGTATTGACAATTTTTTCTGACGAGTTTGCAGATAACCTGATAACTTGCAGCTAGGTGGTACAGTAGATAGAGCCCTGGTTCTGGAGTCTGGACAACCTGAGTTCAAATCCAGAACAGACACTAGATGTGTGACTCTGGGCAAATCACTTAACCTGCCTGCCTCACTTTCCGTAACAATAAAATGGCTATAATAATAGCACCTACCTGCTAGGGTTGTTGTAAAGATGAAATGAAATGATCTCTGTGAAGCACTGAGACCAGTGCGTGGTACATAGTGGGCACTTAATAAATGCTTGTTCCTTTCCTTCTTAGATTATGTCTTTCTGACCTGCTTTCCAAGTCAATTATTTTGGATATTATATTTCTTACATTTTCTTTTCCTCCAATCTTTTGGATCTGTTTCATATTTCTTGTTGTCTATTGAGTTGCTGTCTTCCATCTGGCCCAATATAAGTTCAAGGACATTCCAATACTGAAGGAGGTTTTCCACCATTTGTTCTAAGGTGCCACTCTTTCCTCTTAGCTTCTCTGTGCTCATCTCTTTTATTACTTTCAGCTGTCCTGTAGTCCCCAAACACTCTTTTTCTGTGCAGACTTTACTTGCACTTTTCGTGGGGTTACAATCCTCTTTGGAGTTACTCCCTAGAGGGAGCAAGGTGGCACAGCAGATAAAGTGCTGGACTCAAAGTCAGAAAGACCTGAGTTCAAATCAAGCCTCACAAACTTTGCTGTGGTATCATGGGCAAGTCACTTAAACTCTCTCTGCCATAGTTTTCTCAACTGCACATGGGGTCATGATGTACCTGCTTCCTACATTTGTTGTGAGAAAAAATGAGAATATTTTTAAAGTAAGCTCTTAATAAATCCATCCTTCCTTCTGATCTCTCTAACCAATGCTGTTTCCTTATGGTATTGAGTTTTCCTTGATTTGTTCATCTTGGCCTCGAGCTTTGAGCTTTGTTCAAGCTCAACAACTGAGTGGCATGGGCAGATCTTACCTGGTCCTGACAACAGTAGACTAGACTAGGTTTCAGGAGGAAGTTGGAAGGAAGGAAGCAGGGAAATAAGCATTTATTAAGCCCTACTATGTGCCAGGCACTGTGCTAATGATTCACAAATGTTACCTCATCTGATCCTCACAACAATCCTAGCAGTTGGGTGCTAGTACAATACTCATTTTACAGCTGAGGAAAATGAGGTAGGCTGGTGAAGTGACCTGCCCAGCATCAAACAGTAAGTGTCTAAGGACAGATGTCCAGTACTCTGTCCACTATGCCACCCAGCTGCTGATAAACAGAACTGACCATATTAATAAGAACAACAAAAATCACAGGAGTATAGCAGTATCAAAGGGGACAAAAAAGTGATCCACTGGAGAAGGAAAGGTAAACCACTCCAGCATTTCTGCCAAGAAAACCCTATGGCCAGTATTAAAACGCTATGGGGTCGCAAAGAGGTGGACACAACTGAACAACAAAAATGGCAACATGTACAGGGAAGGTTTTTTGACAGAACACAATACTCATTTTTTATTAAAAACACTAGAAAACACATGAGTACATGGATCTTTTCCTAATAAAGGAAACAGTATTTATGTAAAACTAAGATCCAGCATGATTGGTAATGTGGATAAATTCTTTCCAGTAAGGTCGGGGTTAAAGCAAGAACGTGCACTGTCACCACTACTATATAATAGTCCTAGAAATTCTAGCTATAGCAATAAGACAAGACAAACAAATTGAGGGAAAGAGAAAAAGTTATCACTTTTTTTCAGATGATTTGATGGCGTACTTGAAAAGAACCCTAGAATCGAGAAAACTGAAACAATCACTTCAGCAAGGATGAAGGATACAAAGTAAACCTACATAAATCACCAATATTTTTGCATATAGGCAACAAAATCTATCAAAAAGAGATAAAAAGAGAAATACTTAAAATACTGGGGAGTCTACCTGCCAAGACCCACAGAGGAATTATATGAATCCAAGTGTGAAGCAGTAATAACATGGAGGAAGACAGACCTAAACAACTGCAGAACTATCAATTGGTCCTAGTTGGAAAAAACCGATGTAATAAAAATGACAATAATACCTACATTAATTTATTTATCCAGTGCTGTACCAATCAAACTCAAAAAGAGTTACGTTAGGGAATTAGAAAAAATAACAAAATAAAAGGTCAAGAATCTCAAGGGAAATAATGAAAAAAGGTGGGAAGGATGAAGCCCTGGCGATACAGATCTCAAATGATGCTGCACAGTGGTGACCATCAAACTGATCTGGTTGAGACTAATCAGCAGAACAGCTGACATACACAACACAGTCAGTTAACAAACGTTCATGAAGTACCTACTGTGCCAAGCACAGTGTAATACAAAAGAAGGTTAGGGCTAGAACCATTTCTAATGCAACTCCAAAAGTCCCTGTTCTTAAGAGTGCTCAGACTAATGAAGGAGACAGTGTGAAAAGAACTATGTGTAGACAAGCTACAGATGGATAAACTGGAAATACCCAACAGAGGGAAGGTGCTGGAATTAAGGGGGCTTGGGAAAGGCCTCCCGTAGGAGGTGGGATATTAGCTGGGGACTCAAAGGAAGCCAGGGCAGTTAGCAGACGGAGATAAGGTAGAGAGAACGCTTGGACTTGGGAGACAGTGTCTTGTTCACAGAACAGCCAGGAGGCCAATGTCACTGGATCAAAGACTAGGTGTCAGGGAGAAGGTCGAAGAAGACTGGAGAGGTAGGAGGGGGCAGGTTATGAAGGGCTTTGAAGGCCAAACAGAGGACTGACTATTTGGTTCTGGAGGTGACAGGGAGTCACTGGAGTTTACTGAGGGCGACGTGATCTGACTCATGCTTTAGGAAAATCACTTTGACGCTGAGTGGAGGAAGGACACGAGTGGGGAGGGACTTGAAGCAGGGAGAGCAGTTGGAAGGCTTTTTCTAGTCCCTTGTGACGTGACAAGGGCCCATCCTGTGGCAGTGCCAGAGAAGAGGAGGGGGCATATGCCAGAGCTGTTTTGAAGGCAAAGACTTCAGAATTCTGATCAGTGAAATGATCGGCTATGAATTTAGAAGACAAGATAATGAAAAATGCCACCCACATCATGACGGGGGTGACAGAGCAATGTGCAGAATGAGAGCCCCATTTATGGACAAGAGCAGATGGGGTCTCATTTCAACATGCTCATGTGTTACAAGACAAAATTTCCTACATTCTTCCCAGTGGTGGTGGGAAGAGGTGGAAAGGAGGGAAAAAACTATCAATAACTGAAAAATTCATTTAGAGGAATGAAAATAAAGACATTTCTTCCCAGAACCTCCTTTGTGTGGAAGGGCACAGACCTGCCATCCTACGCTCTCCAGGATTCATCACCAGGCCCGAGGTGGGCACCTTCCTCTCCCCTCCTAGCTTTTGGAGCCTCCTGTGCATGAAGGAAGGGAACCTTGTCCGTCTTTGGACATCCTTGGCAATGCCAGAGATTAGCCCAGTGTCTGGCACACAGTGGGCATTTCATAAGTGCAGGCTGGCTTTATAGTTTGGCTCTTCTCCCACAAGGTGGCTGCTGTCTGGGTTTCCAGGACCTGCCAAACATTCCTGACAGCAGCTCACAGTAAGCCCTCTGAGGCGCACCTGGGGCAGGTCACCTGAACACACCACAGACAGCCTGGGCATCACCTCCCAGCTGGCCATCTCCGATCCTGCCAGGGGAATCTGGTTTTACTTGGAGAAGAGTTGGAAATGAGTAGCTTTGCATTCTCTGTGCGTGCACCCAAGCAAAGATCCTGCCCTTTACAGCATTCTCCCTTTATGGTTTCAGATACTTTTGAGAACACGATCCCTCCCTGGCTGAGGCAGCTCAGCCCTTCTCCACAGGCTGGGCAGCTGCCAGGAGGGGTCACTGGCCCCCCCGCAACGCGCCTCCCCTTACGCAACCAACCCAGCTGCCTGCACTGACTCACTCACCTGCACGGCTGCTCCCTGGCGCGTCTCCCTCGGGCATCCAAGGTCCTTCCCCTCTCTCCAGCTGGCAGACGACATCTGGACTGGAAACAGCAAGCCCTGCCCATTGGAAACAGGAGAGAGTTGGAGCCCTCAGCCCCCTCTGAGTCCACTCTTAGCCCTGGAAAGTACGCGTGCTGGGAAGGGCTCGGGGGGGCCCAGGGGCCCTTAGAAGGGCTCTTCACTGGGGTCACAAGGATTGGGGGAGAAGCCTGGCCCTGAGCGCACAGAGGGTCAGGGGGCCACCACCCTTTCAGCTTCCAGTGTTCAAAGCAAAGACCTTTCCTCAGTGACCTGCCCCTTGGCCACAAGAGGGACCCTCTGCCCCTCCTTGGCAAATAGCCCACACTCCAGACACCCCACAGCATTTACTAATGGAATGAAGCAAAGATTCTTCCCAGGGTCCTCACCTAGGCACACCAGGTTCCCGTAGTTCTCCAGCATCACCTCCCGGTACAGTTCCTTCTGGGTGGGGCCCAGGTGCCCCCACTCCTCCCAGGAGAAGTCCACGGCCACGTCCTGGAAGGTCACTGACCCCTGAAAGACCAAAGACACTTGTGCTCACCCAGGGACTGTCCCTCATATAATGTGGAAGGAGAGGGCATGCTGGCAGGACGCACAGGGAGTTGCGCTCGGTGTCTGGGCTTCTGAATGCCTTGGGTGAAACATCTAGGGAGCGCCTGCCGTATGCACAGGCCGTCCCAGGTTCTGAATCATGCAGCAAGATGGCAGTTAACAGCAGCCCGCATTTCTATGGCACTTTTTGGCTCGTGTAATTTGTAACACCCGTGTGAAGCAGGTGCCAGAGGCATCCACTTTCCCCTCAGAAATGGCTGTGTAAAGTGGTTTTTGTGTAAGAAGCTATGGACCCAGAATGAGAAGGAAAGAGACAGAGGGGGGGAAATCTTTGAAAAATATTTCTACTAAAAATCTGATATTTAGGGCAGCAAGTTGATGCAGTGGATAGAGCACCACCCCAGAGTCAGGAGGACCCAAGTTCAAATCTGGCCTCAGACACTTACTAGCTGTGTGAGCTTGGGCAAGTCACTTCACCCCGACCGCCTCCAACCTTCCCCAAAACAAAGGAAAAAAAACCCTGACATTCAAAATCTAAAGGAATCGCTGACAGCCAGTTTACCACCTGAATCTAAGCAAAGTGACTTGGGATACCCCACGGTCCACAGTAAGAATGATGATAACAGACAAGAGTGCTCTCAACAGATGTTGACACAGGTCGAGATGGGCACACGGAATGGGCCTTCACATGGGAGAGAGTCCAGGGAAGGAAGCTTCCCCTGCATACACAATCCAGTTGTATGTCCTCCCCTTGGTCTGCCTCAGTTTCCACATCTGTAAGATGAGGGAGATCCCTTCTGCTCTCCCTCGGATCCCACAATTCTTCTCTGTTGTATTGGAACAGAGAGGGGGTGAGGTGGCAGCCCAGGGGCCCACGGTCAGTGCAGAGCAGACGCCAGACTGGATCCCAGCTCTGGGGCTGGCTTTTGCTCCTCTGCCGGCCCTGACACACCACACCTTGGGCCAGCTCCCTTAGAGAGAAGATAACTGGATTCTAGGCCCACTCCTTCTCCCTCCACGCTCCGTGGGTCTTGTCAGGTCAGCTAGAGGCCTGGCCAGCTCATCCACATGGCTGGTGTGCGTGTGTAGAGGAAGATGAGGAGGCAGCCCCCACCAACAGAAACCCAAGCTGACCCCAAGCCCTCTCTGACAAAGGCCAGGCACAGTCTAGTTTTCCGGCCCCCAGAGAGTCCAAGGGGAGTGTGGCTGGCTAAGGATTAGAAAGCTCATTGGGTTAACTATGTGCGAGTCAGCAGGACAGGAAAGTCAACCAGCCCTCGCCCTCAAGCTCATACCCAGAGCAAAGCTCCAGCTGCCAGGCGGAGGGAGAGGCCCCACCACAGTCGGCCATCACCTTCTATCCTGTCTCCCTCGGCTTGGCATTCAAGGCCCCCTGCAGTGCAGACACTCCACAGGGGGCTGGTCTCAATGGTGGTCTTGGGGAGCAGGCTGGGAGCAGGGGCCTGGGTCTATTGCCAGGGCCCTCAGGGCAGCAGCTGGTGCTCGTGAAGGTGAAGAGGGCTGGGAGCCTTTCCAAAGGAGCTGTGGCGCCATGAAGAGGGCTGGGCTTAGGACTGGCCGCAGGCATTTACCACCTGGGCGACCCTCGTCTAGGACGGAGGAAAACCATGGCGCCTTGTGCACAGGGTTATTAGGAGGTCTCGTGGGCAGGGCTGGAGCACGGCCAGCGGTCTGAAGGCTGAGACAGCAGCGGTTTACAGACAGACACAGCCAAACCCCTCAGCAGAGGAGGAGGACCCTGGGGCACCAGGCGCCCCTGTGCCATCCAGTCTCCAGTTGCTCCCTTCTCAGGGCCTAGCTCCTCTTAGCCTGGCTCACGAGGCCCCTCCCAGCTCTAATGACCCAGTCAGCACTTTGGGCTAGAGTGTATGGAAAAGACAAACTCCTGCTTACCTGCTGGGCCCAGGCTGTCAGGGGCCCCGAGGCCATTCTGTCCTCAAGCCTCCCTTTACTTTGGGAAAAGTACAGTCCTTCGAAGGCCAACCTGAAGGAAAAGGCAGATGGGATGAAGAGTGAGGACAGGTATATTAATACCGACATTCTGGAAACATCTGGAATTAAGCAAGCAAAGTTCCTGAACTATTCCGACCCTTGGACTCCATGATCCCAAGACTAGATGCGTACCCCGAGAAGGTCCATGATAGAACGAAAGGCCCTTAGCCTGAGATATTCCCAGCAGCCCTTTTGTGGTAGAAAAAAACTGGAAATAAATTGGGCACTCACTGATTGGTTCTTTAAGTATAAGTGAATTCTAGTGCAGGAGCAGAACCAAGAGAGGAGGGAGGAAAGGACACCGAATGCCAATAAAAACAGCGGCAGGCCGCGGGGGAGGTGTTCACTTGGTGGCAAGGCAGGGCTGGATGGGGGTAGGGGGAAGAGGGAGCAATCACCTGTACACAGTACACAAGGCAGCAACATCCCTTTATTAAGAAAGAATAAGAAACAGGAGAAGGACGTTAGGCTGGCCTTCCAGCCCTGAGGCAGGAGAGTAGGGGGTGGGGGGCATTCCTCCACAGATGTTTGTGACACTTCTATTAAGAGCCAAACCTCAGCCACGGGGAAGCGCTGTCAGAGCAGCAGGGGCCACGGTGAGGAAGCCCCCACCCGCCTGGGCTCACGCTCTGCTGGGGCACGGAATGATCACAGCTCCTGCTGCTCCACCCTGGTGCAGACCTGCCCGTAACCTGGCCCCTCCTACCTCTCCAGCCTTCAAACAACCAATCACTCCACATTTATTAAGCACCTACTACGTGCCAGGCACTAAGTGCTGGGGTACAAAAAGAGCCCTCAAGGGGCTCAGTCTAATGGGGGAGAAACACGCAAACAACTACGTACAAAGCAGGCTATGTACAGCATAATTAGGACATAACGAACAGAGGGAAGGCCCCCTGTGGAAAGTCAGCAGTCGAGTGCAGGAAGGAAAATGTTCTAGGCACGGGGACAGCCAGAAATCGTGCCCAGAGCCCAGGGATGGAGGGTCTTGCTCACGTAACAGCCTAGAGCCCGGGGTCACTCAATGGAAGACTGGAAAGGCAAGAGAGGGCATGTTAATAGGGGCTTTGAATGCCACACAGAGCCTAACTGTACGTGTGTGTGGGTGACCAGGCTGGACAGGGTGCGCAATGGAGGGGGATGGGCAGCTAGGGCCCTAGGCCAGGCATGAGGGGACGAGGCCCTGCACCTGGGAAGGGGAGGTGGCGGCATCAGAGGGGAGACGGGGGCACGCTGGAGGATTAGCAAAGGCAAAATGGACAGGAGTGAGCCACCCAGGAAGACCTGCTTCTGGGAGCCCGGGGGATGAGAGCACGGGATTTGGAAGGTCCGTGGAAAGACTACGAGGTCTGCTCTGGACCTGTCCAGTTTAGCACGTGCAGTGGGTACCCATAGACGCCAGACAGAGGTCAGCAGTGAGGCCGGGCCAGGATGGGGAAATCTGGGGGTCACCAGCCAGGGATGGTCATTAAGCCCGTGGGAGCTGATGGGCCACCGGGGGAAGTAGGACAGAGGGAGAAGAGCAATGGGCCCTGAGGGACCCCAGGGTGAGGCGGCGTGGTCTGGAGGATGGAGACAGAGGAGGATCTGGTGGTCAAAGGCAGAAGAGAACCCGGAGAAAGAAGTATGGGGAGGAAGAAGTGACCCAGGGTCCAAGGCTGCAGAGGCCACAGAGGACGAGGATAGAGGGAGGGCCTGGTGCCGGACCGTGCAGACTGGCCCTGACCAGACGCCCCTCCTGGCAGTCCTGCTACAAGGGCTCAAGGGGTTGGGTGGGTGGCACGTGTCGCTGACGTCATCGCCGCCTTCCCAAGGGGCGGGGAGGGTACCACGTAAGTGGGAGTGGCGCTGCGGGGGGGGGCTGGAGTGGGGTCACTCGGCCTGGGTCAGGTGGTGGAGGAGGAGGGGCAGAAGGCATCTTTCTCCTGGCCCTGCCCCGCCTCAAGGAGACCTTGCCTGTCCCGCCTTCACCCCTTTGCCCAGGATGCTCCGGCCTTGAATGCCGCACTAAGGGAAGCGCGCCTCAGGGAAGTAAGGCAGGGCCCCACGCAGCCCCGGAAGGCGTGGAGCGCCGCAAGGACGCAGAGGGGGGCGTAGGGAAAGAAGGCGCTGACCAATGAGCGCGCACGCTCGCCGAGGGGGCGGGACCTGCAGGCTCGGACTGCGCACTCGCAGGGGAGGGGGCCGAGCCCCGTCCCCCCGCCCCCTCCCTGAAGCCCGGAAATGAGGGCCACTCCGTCCGCCCCGACTCACCCCGGACTCTGAGTCCGCGGCCCAGGCCCCGGCGGCGGCTGAGGAAGGAGCGGAATCGAGGTGACTGCAAAAACGCGCAGGATGGCAGGGGCCTGACGTGGCGGAAGTGATGAGACCCCCCCCCTTCGCGCCGGAACCCCGCCCGGAGGCGAAGGGCGCGCCCGCCCGGCCCTCTGGGAAATGGAGTCCGCCGGCCCGGTCCACTGCTGCGCATGCGCGGAGCCTGCCCAGCCGGCGGGAGGAGCAACTTGGGCGGTGCACTCTCCAGCAGGGGCCGAGGCCCAAGGGAAGTCACCCCCCGAATCTCGGGCCCCGTCCAGTGGTCCAGCGTAAAAAACGGGCGTGACTTTATCAGTGGACATGACCCTGGAAACGTGACTAGCCGTCACCCCTGGACCGAGGGCCTTTGCTTTCCACGCGCAGCTGTTTTCCGGCAGCGGCCCCTGGTTTCCCAACGCGCAGAGTCTGCGCAGTGCTGTGCGTACAGCACGTGCCCAATAAAGGCTCCTCTGCAAAGCTGGGAGGGCCGCCTCTTTCCATGCTTTGTGAGAACAATAATGAGTTCTGCCGGTTTCTTCCCCATTTTTTCTTTAAGAAAACATTTGGCACAGACCATTTACCAAGATGAGCTCTAAAAGGACACATGACCTAGACGTAAAGGGAGACCTTACAGGGAAATGTGAAGCAGGTGGGCAATGACACCTGTCAGGCTCAGGGACGGATGAACAGCTTGTGAAGGAGCCAGAGCTCGCTGAGATGTAAAATGGATAACTTTGATCACATTAAACCAGAGGTTCTTGTACAGATAAAACAAATGTAGCCAAGATCAGAAGGAAAGGAGAAACCTGGGGAACAGGGCCTCCAGACAGCTCCTCAGATAAAAGAACTTGGTCAGCTCCATAAGGAGTCATGCCCCAGTGGATAAATGGTCAAAGGATGTGAAAGGCTGATGAAGAAATCGAAACAATTTATAGTCAAATGAAAAAATGCTCTAAATCACAATTGATTATTGATTAGAGAAATGCAAATTAAAACAACCTTGAGATATCATGTTACACCTATCAGATTGGCTAAAATGGGAAAGAGGAAAAGGACAAACGGAGGAGATGTGGAAAAATTGGGACCTTAATTCACTGTTGGTGCATCTGTGAGCTGATCCAACCATTTTGGAGAGAGATTTGGAACTATGCCCAAAGAGCTATTAAACTGCCTATACCCTTTGACCCAGCAATACCACTACTAGGTCTGTTTCCTAAGATGATTAGGAAAAATGGAAAAGAACCTACCTGTTCCAAAATATTTATAGCAGCAATCTTTGTAGAGGCAAAGAACTGGAAATTGTGGGGATGCAGGTCAACTGGGGAATGGCTGAACATGTTGTGGTATACGTTCCTGATATAATATTCCTCTGCTATAAGACATGATGAGCTCAATGATTTTAGAAAAGCATGGAGAGACTTCCACAAAAAAATGAGTGAAATGAGCAGAACCAAGAGAACATTGTATACAGTAGCAGCAGTACTGTTTTAAGAACAACGTTGAGCAACCAAGTCATTCTATTACAAATACTCAAATTAATCTCAAAGATTCTGTGAGGGAAAATGCTATTTGAATCCAGAAAGGAATACTGCTGTGGTGAAGGAAATGAGGAGCGGACTGATTTAGAAACACAGGGAAAGATTTGGATTTATGAAGGAAGATGCTATCCACCTTCAGAGAAATGGATGATACGAGAAAATAAGCGTAGTACGGTTTTAATATGTGTGTGAGTATAGATGTGTATGTGTATAGATATCTATATTTATGTATATGTGTGCATATATATAGATAGATATAGATATAGATATAGATACACCTCCATGCTTAATTGTAGCCTTCTTTAGGGTTGGGGGTGGGGTGTGGGGAGGAAAAAATAAAGTAGAAAGTGCACAGCAGAGAACAGAGGAAAATCAACAGGGGAAAAGTTGGGCAGCTTTGAAAACAGTGTACAGTAATTATTATATAGGTTTTCTTGAAATGGAAATTTATTATTATTTATTATATTGAAACCTCTCTATGGTAGGCTGCGTACATGGCAATTTTTTCTTTTCTCATTTTGTATTCAAGTGTAGAATTTTTAAAATTGCAAAAAAAAAATTGTTACCTGGGATGAGGAGGGGAAGGGATCCTGGGGGGATATTTTGATGCTGCAAAAAAACCAAGAGATATCAATAACAATTTATTTTTAAAAAGACTAAAAACCATTCACCAACTGATAAATGGTCAGAGGATAAGAAGAAGTTTTTGAGGAAGAAATTCAAGCTATCAAAAGCTGGATAAAAAATGTTCTAAATCTCTAACAGAAATGCAAATTAAAACAACTCTGAGGTTTCACTTCACAGCCATAAGACCAGCCAAGCTGACAAACAGAAAATGACAGACGAGAGGAGGTGTGGAAAAACAGCGACATTCATGTTCTATTGGTGGTACTAGGAATGGTCTAGCCATCCTAGAAAGCAATTTAGAACTGCACCCCCAAAGCTGTTAAACAGTGTATATGCCCTGTGACCCCCAGATATGGCTAGTAGGTCTGTACCCAAAAGACAGCAAAGAAAGAAGAAAAGGACCTATATGTGCAAAAAAGGACCTATATGTGCAAAAATATTCATAACAGCTTTTTTCATGGTGGCAAAGAATGTGAAATTGAGGGGGTGCCCATCAGTTGGGGAATGGCTGATATGTGGATATGGTGGAGGACTCTTGTGCTTTAAGAAATGATCAAAGGGATGCTTTCTAAGGAATCTGGGAAGATGTGTAGGAAATGATGCAGACAGAAGTGAACAGAATCAAGAGAGATATTTACACTAACAATAATGTAAAACAAAACTTTGAAAGAATTAAGAATAAAGAATTCGGAATAAAAATAAGAATAAAAAAATAAGAACTAAGATCACAATATGATCCCAGGCACCCATGATGAAACATACAATTCACCTCTGGCTAGAGAGGTGATGGACTCAGACTGCAGATGGAGACACACACACACACACACACACACAGAGGACATGGCTAATGAGGGAATTTGTTTTGCTTGACTAAATATGTTACCAGGGCTTCATTTTTCTTTCTTTTTTTCAATGGGGGTGGGGGGGGATGAGAGGAGGAGAAAATCAGAGCTAGGGATGGCAGGAAGCTTGTTTTGGTTGGGTGAGGGGCTTGGTCACACCCCAAGGAGCTTCTATTCAGGGTTCAAAAGCTGGTTAGAAATAGGGTTTGGCAACAGAGAAGAAAGAGCAGGCAGGTGAAGAGCTAAGCTGGAAGGAACCAGTAGCCCTGGGACAAGAAGGAAGGGGACAGGAAAGGCAGCAGCCCTAGAGGGATCTCAGTGCAGAAGGCTGAAGCTGATGCCCCCAGCAGTACCCACCTCCTCGAGGGCTGAGGGAAGTACCGAGAACAAGTCTGCTCCTTCCCAACTTCCCCTCCTGGGACCCACCAACAGGCATGGTAACATAGTTTGTTCTTTTACCCAGAAGTCCCTGGTAACCAGAATTTTGTCTGAACCATGGAGGTAAGGGGTTAATTAAAGATGGATATAAATGCAAACAAGGCAGAGGGCCCAACCTCTGCCTATGTTTAGGAATTGTCCTGGGGAGGGGGGGCACAGTTAGAGGGATGGTGATTGTACTCCTCACTTTTCACTGTTTTCAATATCATACTGGAAATGTTAGGTTTAGCAATAACAGAAGAAAAAGAAATTGAAGGTATTAGAATAGGCAAAGAAGAAACAAAGCTATCACTCTTTGCAGATGATATGATGATATACTTAGAGAATCCTAGAGAATCAAGTAAAAAACTACTTGAAATAATAAACAACTTTAGCAAAGTTGCAGGCTGTAAAATAAACCCACATAAATCATTGGCATTTCTACTCCTCACTTTTCATCTAAACTCTCCTAAACAGGAGAGGAGGGAACCAAGTAAACCTGAGGGGTCATAATATAGCCCCTGGGCTTTCAACTTCCTGCTTACTGTAACAGAGAGTTACACAAAGCAAAGGCAAAAATAGTCTAGACCCTACGAAGGACAATGTGTTTATAAGTAGGTACACAAGCTATGTCCAGAGAAGCCCGAAGGTAAGTTTAGGGGGAAGGGGCCAGGGGAACTGGGAAAGGACTCCAGCGAGCGGAAGGCATCTAAGCAGAGTGGAAGGAAGCCCAGCAATCCTCAAGAGCCAGAGAGTATTCTCTCACCTGTGTGGGGATGCCAAGAAGCAGAGGTGAGGTGGGCAGCTTGGGCAAAGTATGGAGGTGGGAAAGAGAATGAATGTCCTTTGGAGGCACCAAGAAGAGGCCAGATAATTGTCCACAGATTGCTTGTAGGAAAATATGCAACATGAAAGAAATTAGAGATGTAGGCTGGAGTCAAAGACCTGTAAATGCCAAACAGATGAGGAATAGGGCCACCTATGGCTCTGAAAGCAGGCAGTGACACACTCACCTAGGCGCTGAGCAGGAAAACTGGATTGGAGCAAAAAAAAAAATGGAGGCAGGGAGACTGTTACAGTAGACTGCAGTGATGAGGCCCTGAACTGAGCTGGTGCTTAATGTGAGTGGAGAAGAGGGTGGAAAGGAGCTAGACTGGACAAGACTGGTCGGACATGGAGAGCAGGAGAATGGTGGAATCGAGGGCCTAGAAAAAGGGCTTAACCTGAGCAAGGATCTTCCTCTGTTACTGAACTAATTCTTCCTCTGTGAATGAGATGAAGGAGAGCTGACTCTTGTCATATTGTCACAACTTTCTCAGTAAACTAAAAGTCTAAGTCATATGCTATAATTGTAGTTTTTGGGAAAGGGAGGTGCCTGGGGATTTGAGGAGAGATAAAGTTAATTAGGAATAGCTTTGTCTATATAATTTCATTTTAGGTAGCAATCTCTGCTTTGTGTGTGTGTGTATGAGTGTTTAGTAAAATTTATACTTTGAAAATATCCCTATATTAATTATATTTAATAAGGCTTTCCCTTCTTAAGCTTCTCTCCAATATGCATTTGGTTTTTGACCTGAAGGCCTTCACAATTTAATTACATTGCATAAAGCTTCTCTCCAATGTGAATTCTCAGATGTCCATTAAGTCCTGTTCTTTGGCTAAAACCTTTTCCGCATTCGTGACATTCATAAGGCTTCTCACCAGTGTGAATGGTCTGGTGTTGAGTAAGGTGTGCTTTCTGACCAAAGGCCTTCCCACATTTGTGGCATTTATAAGGTTTTTCTCCAGTGTGAATTTTATGATGTCTGTTCAGCTGTGTGCGCTTGGTGAAGGCCTTCCCACATTCGTTACATTCATGTGGTTTCTCTCCAGTGTGAATTCTCTGGTGTTCAGTAAGTCCTGTGACCAGGCGGAAGGCCTTCCCACATTCAGTGCATTCATAAGGTTTCTCTCCTGTATGAATTCTCAGATGTCCAATAAGTCCTATGCTTTGCCTAAAAGCTTTCCCACATTCATTACATTCATAAGGCTTCTCTCCAGTATGAACTGTCTGATGTTGTGTAAGGTGAGCTCTCTGACGAAAGGTCTTTCTACATTCATTGCATTCATATGGTTTCTCTTCAGTATGAATTCTCTGATGTCTATTAAGTTGTGTGCTCTGGCTGAAAGCCTTCCCACATTCCTTACATTCATATGGTTTCTCTCCAGTATGAATTCGCTGATGTTCTGCAAGACCAGTGATTAGGCGGAAGGCCTTGCCACATTCATTACATTCAAAAGGTTTTTCACCAGTATGAATTCTCTGATGTTCAGCAAGTCCTGTGATCAGACGGAATGCCTTTCCACATTCATTACAACCAAAAGGTTTCTCTCCAGTATGAATTCTGTTGTGCTGTTTAAGATCTGCCCTACGACTGAAGGCTTTCCTACATTCATTGCATTCATAAGTTTTCTCTCCTGTATGAATTCTCTGATGTTCAGTAAGTCCTGTTCTCTGATGGAAGGACTTCCCACATTCATTACATTCAAAAGGTTTCTCTCCAGTATGAATTCTGTTATGTTGATTTAGATCTGCCCTTCGAGTGAAGGCCTTTTTACACTCATTACATTCATAAGGTTTCTCTCCAGTATGAATTTTCTCATGTCGAGTAAGTTGTGAGCTCTGGCAGAAAGTCTTCCCACATTGATTACATTCATAAGGTTTTTCTCCACTGTGAATTCGCTGATGCTGAGTAAGTCCTGTTTTTTGGCAAAAGGCCTTCCCACAGTCATTACATTCATAAGCTCTCTCTCCAGTATGAATTCTCTGATGTCGAGTAAGCTGAGAACTTTGGCAAAAGGTCTTCCCACATTGATTACATTCATAAGGTTTTTCTCCACTATGAATTCGCTGATGCTGAGTAAGTCCTGTTTTTTGGCAAAAGGCCTTCCCACAGTCATTACATTCATAAGCTCTCTCTCCGGTATGAATTCTCTTATGTCGTGTAAGTTGTACGCTCTGACGGAAGGCCTTGCCACATGCATTACAGTCATAAGGCTTCTCTCCAGTGTGAATTCTCTGATGTTGAATACGCTGTATGCTAAGGCGGAACAACTTCCCACATTCATTGCATTCATAAGGTTTCTCTCCAGTATGAACTGTCTGATGTTGAGTGAGCTGTGAATTTCGGCAAAAGGCCTTCGCACATACATTACATTCATAAGGTTTCTCCCCTGTATGAATCAGCTGATGTTCAGCAAGCTGTGAACGCCAGCGGAAGGCTTTCCTGCATTCATGACATTCATATGGTTTTTTTGTAGTATGAAATGCATGATACTCAGTAAAGCCAAATTTATCATCAGAAGGTTTCCAATGTTCATTATGCTTGCCCTTTTTAAGTATGTCCCATTTATGGAGACCCTTCTCCTCACCATCCTGCTGTTTCTCTATAATGGTATCAAGTTTCCAGGCTTCTCCCATCCTGGAGACACAGGGATCATGCCCTGCTAGTCCTTCCTGGAATGATACTTCAACAGCAAGACCCAGCTTTGGCAACAGCTCCTTCTTTTGGTGTGTAGTTTCCCAACCTAAAAGAAATTAAAAACGTAAATAGTCCATGTATTCCCTGCTGCGCACACAGGTTCCTGCCACCAAAAGGAAAAAAAAAAAAAGAGGCTCAAACTGATTCGGTGCAGCGGTTCTCAAAGTGTGGTCTGTGGACTTCGAGGGTCCCTGAGACCCTTTCAAGGGGTCTGTGAGGTAAAACTATTTTTGTAACAGCACTGAGACTTCTTGGCCTTTCTTCCCTTTTCCAATACTTAACTAGATGAGGCTGGATTTTCTTTATAAACTTCAGGCAAGACAACAAACCACCCACACCAGACTTGAATGCAGAAGCAGATCAGTCTGCTTAATGTCTTCTCTTGAGCCACACATTACAGAGATCTGCAAACACATGTAAAACAATGCCCACTTCCCCCCTAATTTTTTTTGGGGAAATTTAGTTATTTTTCATGAAAATGTTATTTATGTTAACATGTAATTATTTTAATGGAATTAATATTTTAAGATTTCATTAATGACATAGATAACTATAACCCACATAAACAAAGCCTCCTTGGGGTCTTCAGTAGTTTTTAAGAGTGTAAAGGAGTCCTGGGACCAAAACGTTTAAAAACCACAGCTTTAGCCATCTGCTTCAGGTTACACTATTCATGATTTCCCTAAGGCTCCGGTCTGACTGTATCACCTCCCTCCCTCCAGAGGTTCCCTCCCACCTCTGGATCAAATAGAAATGCTCTGCACAGCTTTCAAAGCCCTCCCTCACCCAGCTCCCTCCTCCCTTTCCAGTCTTCTTCTGCCTTACGCTCTCCACGTATTCTCATGATCCAGTGACACTCGCCTCCTTCTGTTTGCGCCAGGCATTTTCTCTGGCTGTGATTTTTCCCATGCCTGCAATACTCTCCTTCCTCATCTCCGCTGCCGGATTTCCCTTACATCTCAGTTAAAATCACCTCTTTTACAGGACTCCCTCTTCATTCCACTGCCTTCCCTCTGCTAATTATTCCCTCTTCATCCCGTATATAGCCTGTTTTGTATATGTTTGTTTATATGCTGTCTCCCCATTAGATTTTGAGCTCCTTGAGTGCGTGGACTGTCTTTTGTTTCTTTTTGTATCCTCACAGGGTCTACCACATAGTAGGTGCTTAATAAATGTTTATTGGTTGCTGGGCTGATTAATAAAGGTCAAAACTGAATTATAAATCATGGTTGTTTGCTCCAACTCCAGTACCCTTTCCAGGACATCCCATTACTTTTCAACAGTACTGTGACTTGCCGACCAAGCTGTGACAAAGTGCCCTGACCAAGCAACCTCCATAGAGAGGACAGGCAGCCATCTTGGGGAGAGCAAGAGTTGGGCCCCTGAAGTCTGAGCTCCAGCCATTCTCCCTAACATGGGGATCTCCCAGCGAGGCAGTGGCCTGATATCCTGGTGGGCATGGTGCTGTGATTCGGACTGAAGGTGAGGGGTTAATGGTCTCTACCTTGTGCTTTAGCAACAGGGAGCTCCATAGGTCCCTGAGACCTATGGGTGCCGACCAAGGCTGGGATGAGGCTGTCTGGCTGCTGAGCCACGGGGGGCAGGACTCGTTGTCCTCACCAGGGCCAGGGTTTGCCCACCTGCCTTAGCATTGCCAGGGAATCCCGCCCTCTAGGCAGTGAAAGCGGGGACACCACAGGGCAGCGGCAAAGTGATGCTGGACCTGGGGCCTTGGACCCCACCTCCAGCCATCTTTCTGTTGTACCGGGCTGCCCTCCTCAAGGTCCCTTAGCTCCAAACACACAGAGAACAGCACGAATCTGGCAGTAACACCCACATCAATGGACGTATCTGATGTGCAACCCCTCTGCCTGATGCTCCTCTCACAGACTAAAGAAGCTGTTGCCACCTCTTAAGAGCCAGCAGGGGCTCAGAGCCTGTAGCGTCCAGGGGCAGAAAGCTGTGGCTCCTGGGAGATGGTACACAGAGTGTGCCTTCCCTGGCGGGGTCAGGGAGGGACTAGAAAATGATGAGAGACAGTGAAAGGCGCTAGCTTGAGAGATACTCAAGGGCGGGAGACTCAGAAGGAGATGAGAGGAAGAGACCTTCCTTCCTGACCAAGCTGATTTCAACAGAATCTCTCAAAGCCGAGGCAGAAGGAGAACGCTACTGACTGTCGGGAACACCAGCTGGAGCATCTGCACCTGCTGAGTAGTGAGGAAGAGACGCTTCTTTGTGGTTATCACGGCCCCGCTAGGTAATACGTTATGCCCAGTCACTTTCATGTCTCCTTAGGAATAGAAAAATAAGTCCAGGTGGGGGCTCAAGGCTAAGTCACTCTCTCCGTGGTTTGGACTGCAGGAACACCCTACCACCCCCAGGACAAACTCTCCACCAGAAACCTCATCTCCACACAGACCCACTCAGCTTTCACACTCAACACCTCCCCAGCCCCTTGGCTGATGCAGAGCCACTCGGCCCCGAGCCTCCGTTCTCCATCAGCAGCTTGGCACAGATTCGACCCCACCGACATCATGGCCCTGCTAGGTATCCCATGTCACCCTCCCCAGACCTCCTTTTGTGCACCATCTTCCCAATCAGATCGGAAGCTCCTTGAGAGCAGGGACTGTCACTGTTTTTCTGTTTGTGTCCTCAGTGCTCACCACAGTGCCTAGCACACAGTACTTATTGAATAAGTGTTTACTGACTGACTGACTGAAAGGCCTATTCCCTGAAAGGGCCTGTAGCAGCTTCCCTGCTTGGGGGAATGCCAACCAGCCAGTATAGGTACATGTTAGAGGAAGGTGAGCCCATGGAAAGAGCCTGCCTATGGGCGTGGGTGGCCACCCATGCCACATAAGCACACTGATCCCACCACCAATGGGATTAAAAACAGAGAGAAAGTGGAGTGGGGGGGAATTTAAGTGGAAAAACAAACTAATGAGAACACCAAGGGGAAGTATGGCTGGAAAAGGAGGGACAGGAACATGCGTTCCATTCAATGAATTTCAGAAGTAGAGGGATGGCTTGGACATTCAAAAACTATTTTAGACAACAAAGATATATGTATATGTATGTATGTGTGTGTGTGTGTGTGTGTGTGTGTGTGTGTACATTGAAACAAAAAAGGAATAGATGGGGGAGTGGGAGAGAATCACCTTAAATATTTGTGCTAAAATTCTGCCATTTAAAACCTAAAACTGTACAAATTTATAAAAGTAAAACCCATTTTCTGAAAGAGAAATGGTTTAAGCATACGAATGGAGAGTCCCGCACCCCCAATTATCAATAACCAAAAGAAAGGCTGTCCAGACTTCCTAGTAATCAGACAAATGCAAATGAAATCAGCTCTGGGAGGCCAACACATCCCATTAGAAATCCTGGCTTCCGCGATACCGTGAAGCTCTGGTGGAGCTGGGCAGAGCCAGGACCAGGGCACCCACTGCCAGGGAGGGCGAGAGCCGGTGCCATCTTTCTGGCCAAAAGACCAATACTCACTGAGAGCTAGAGAAGTGTTCCTGCCCGTGGGCCCTGAGGCCCGGGAGCAGGATGCTAAAGACAGCACTGAGATGAGAAAGAAATCCCGATAGTCCTTCCCACTGCTTCAGGCCAGACAGCCGAAGGCTGAAGATGAGCCCCGGAGGAGTCCTGGCCTGGGGAGGCCCTCACTGTGCGTTTCTGGCTCGTGTCCCAAGAATACCAAGGACGATGGGAAGACTTCAATCAAATGCCACCCGAGAGAGAGCAAAGGGAGCAGTGGCACACCAGCTACAATTGGGCACAGAAAGTAGTTACTGCGGCCCGTGGTCCCAAGGGGCAAAGGGCGAGGTCAGGGTGGCCAAGAGGACGTCACCGTCACTCATTTGGTCAATTCAATGAAATCTGCTCAAGAGAGACAGAACGAATCCGCAGGCATGGGCAGCAAGGCAGGCACATGGGGTCCCCAGAGAGAGCGCGGGGAGGAAGCCCTGTCCCTCGCTGAAGGCCTTCTCCACACGCCGGGCAGCTGCCAGGAGATGTCACTGGCCCCCCTGCAATGTGCCTCCCCTTATGCGACTGACCCAGCTGCCTGCACTGACTCACTCACCTGCACGGCTGCTTCCTGGCGCGTCTCCCTCGGGCATCCAAGGTCCTTCCCCTCTCTCCAGCTGGCAGACGACATCTGGACTGGAAACGGCAAACCCTGCCCGTTGGAAACAGGAGAGAGTTGGAGCCCTCAGCCCCCTCTGAGTCCACTCTTAGCCCTGGAAAGTGGGCGTGCTGGGAGGGGCCCTCAGAAGGGCTTCAACATCACACTCACTGGAGTCATAGGAAATGGGCCACATGGGGGTTTGGAATCAGAAAGAAAGGAACTTCATTTGACCTAGAAGCTGAGAAAAGGCTGGCCACCTGAGGATTGGCAATCTCTGCTCCTGTCATGGCACTTGCCAGGGGAGGAAGGGCCTGGGGGAGCCTCCTTACCCAGGCACACCAGGTTCCTGTAGTTCTCCAGCATCACCTCCCGGTACAGCTCCTTCTGGGCGGGGCTCAGGTGCCCCCACTCCTCCCAGGTGAAGTCCACGGCCACGTCCTGGAAGGTCACTGGCCGCTGAAAGACCAAAGATGCTTGTGCTCACCCAGGGATCCCTCCTATCAATGTTGAGGAGACGGGGCACGGGAAGGAAGCATAGGGAGTGTCTCTCAGTGTCTGGGCTTCAGTGCCTTGGCTGAAGCATTTAGTGGGTTCCTGCTGTATGCACAGGCTGTCCTGGATTCTGAATCATGCCATGTCAT